TACATATTTATAGGTTAAATAACAACCCTATTCCTTTTCCCAATTCACCTCAAATTAATAAAGAAAATAATAAAAATAAAAATACTAAAAAGATAACAAAAAATACGTTATGTATAATCTATGTATATTATTTTTATTTAAATAAAACAAATATATTAGATTATCTCCAAAGGACTTTCCTTAAATATAAATATTATTTAATTATACATATACATATACACTATCCATGGGTAATTATCCATACCCATTAAACCCCTTATTTAAGTAGTTCATGAAACCCAATTGGTTGACCCATGACTACTAACCATAACCATTTGAATAAAATCAAATAAAATAACATCAAATAAAATCAAATAAAGCAACCATTTAAAACATTTAATTCCTAACCATTAATTACAAGAAAACATCTAACATATAATTCAACTAAACAAGTATTTCAAATAAATACATAATCAATCAAACAAATAACCAAGAAATCAAATAAAGAATTAAAAACACAATTAAAATAATTAACAAAAAAAATACCGAGATTATCCTTTTAAAATTACGGGTATTACAGAGACAAAGTTTAAGCAGTAAGGTAATCATTATGTTCATATGATGACTCAAGAAGTTAGAAAGAAATTTGAGAATAAGCCTTAAAAGGCATTAAGTGCGCAGCACCCAAAATTAAAAGATTTTGGTCAATTTACTAAAAGAAATGAATGTAATAATGCAAAAGTGTCATTTATGTATTAAACATTTTTAAAAAGATTACATGAAACATAAAGAATGATTCGGAAAGAAAGATAAGTCTTTTGACTTTTGCATATTTCGAATCACTTATTGATATTTGTTCTAATACATGATATGTTGACTTAAGTACTAATGTTTATTTTTCGAATAGATAGAAGAATTTCTTATAACCTAAATTACAAATTCAAATGAGAATTTCTTATTTATGAGAATTGAGAAAAAGTTTTGTTAAAACCATTGAGACATTTTATTTAGTCTTAGACAATTAATTTTATTTAAATTGTTTGAAACTCTTTATATTTCTTCAATTTCCCATAATTTTATTTTATTTTATTTTTAAAAATATATATATGTTAAAGGTTTTTCCTTTAAATTTGATAATGATGTTTATTTAAAAAATTCTAATTTGTGAGTTGTGGTATTCTTGTTGATGATTTCTATAAAATTAAACTTGATAGTTTATTTATTAAAATCTTTTTAACATTGCATCATAATGTTAGAATTAAGCGTAACTCAATTAATGAAAATTTATTTATCTTGTGGCATAAAACACTGGGATAATATTCAGTGAAATGTTAAGAAATTTGGTAAAGGATGTGATTCTTCTGAATCTAAACTTTACTGATTTTGGTGTGTGTGTGGATTATATTAAGGATAAACGAACCAAATAGATAAAGAAATGAACTACAAGAAGTATAAGGCTTCTTAAAATTATTCATACAGACATTTGTAAACCTTCTGATGTTCCATCTTTTGGTGGAGAAAAGTCTTTTATCGTCTTTATAGTTGATTTTTCACATTATGGATATATCTATTTGTTGCGTGAAAATCCTCAAGCACTGGGTACTCTTGAAGTATACATAAATGAGATTGAAAAACAACTAAATAGAAAAGTGACAATCATAAGGTCATATAGAGGTGGTGAATATTATGGAAAGTATGATGAAACGGGCCAATGCCTTGGACCGTTTACTAAACTCCTTGAAATGTATTACATTTATGCTCAATACACTTTGCTATACATGCTACAGTAAAAGTGTGTAGCTGAAAGGCGTAATCGTACTCTTATGGATATGGTTAGGAGTATGTTAAGTAATTTCTTGTTACCTATAATCTAAAGGGTACAAGTTTTACTATTCTAAACATAGTACGAGAATTGTTGAAACTAATAATGTCAGATTCATTGAGAATGGTGAAGTCAGTGGGAGTGATAAAAATAAGAATGTAATCATTCAAGAAGTTATGGTACAAATTTCTTTACTCATAACTTATAAGGAAATATATATTCCTTCAGTTATTGAACCGTATAACAATGAAGAACAATTGAATGATCAACAACTCTATGATGAGATTGTTACCAATGAATGGATTGTAGAAGAACCACAAGTAATAACATTAAGACGATATCAAAGATATTAGGGATCTGCTATTTCGGAAGACTATGTAGTATATTTGCAAGAATTTGATTTTGATATTGGGATATATATAAGGATCCAGTTACATATTCACAAGTTATTGACGGTAATGATTTTACTAAATGGATTAGTGCCATGAATAAAGAAATTATAAAGAAACCTTCTTGACAGTATCTAAGAAGGATTCTTTTAAAATATCATGGCATTAGTAGCTTATTATGATTTAGAATTATATCAAATGGATGTGAATACAACTTTTATGAATGTGAGATTAGAAGAGTAAGTCCATATAGAACAACCTGAAGGTTTCACATTAGAAGGTAAATAATTCATGGTCTGTAAACTTAAAATGTCAATATATAGACTTAAACAAGCTTCCTAACAATGGTATATTAAGTTTAATGATATCATTATTTCATTCTAGTTTTAAGGAAAACATTGTTGATCGGTGTATATACCAGAAAGTTAGTGGAAGTAAGTTTATATTTCTGATTCTATATGTTGATAATATTTTATTTGGTAGTAGTGATCTTAGTTTATTATATGAAACTAAAAGTTATCTATAACAACTTTGAAATGAAAAATATAAATCAAGTATCCTACGTGATAGAAATAGAAATATTTTTTGATAGACCACATGAATTTTTAGAATTGTCTCAGAAAACATATATTGAAAGAGTTCTAGAAAGATTTGGTATGGAACATTATTCAACCAGTACCGTTCCATACATAAAAGGGGATAAATTCAGCCTAATACAATCCCAAAGAATGAGTTAGTTAAAAGGTAAAGAAACGAAAAATATTCCTTATGCATATATTGTGGAGTTTGATGTATACACAAGTTGGTAAAGGATAAAAGACTATATGGTCACACTTAGGAAGACATTTTTATTAATATGTAGATAATAATAATTCACAATTAGTTATTTGTTCCTTTTGACTGTAAGAATAATATTATGCAAAAGTACAAAGTAATTTACTATTACTTTGTCTATTATGAATTTTTTTATTTTATTTATTTTTTAATTTGTAGCATGTTTTGAGGTTACACTTTATGGTTGCAGAATTTATTTCAAGACTTGGAGTTATAAGTACCATTATCAAATTGTTGAAAATTTATGCTGTAATTGCTGATCTTCTTATATGAAAAATAATGGGTATTCTAAAGTTGAAATACTTTATCATTAAAGAAAATGTTTAGAAACAACGTGTATATTGAACATATAAGTACACAACTTATGATTGCAATCCATTAACGAATGGATTACCACCCAAGACATTTATAGAATATGTTGAAAGAATGAGTTTTAAATGTAGTCAATGATGATTATTTTTTAATTGTGGATGGTTTAACAGTGCTTATATATATTTGATATTTTGCGCTCATTAAATGTGTTTACGATATTTCTATTAATTAATGTACATGTACGTATTACTTTAATGAGTGGTAATAGGAATAGTCTTGGAAAAGACATTATTATTAGATCATTATTGACACTTCTCATTTATAAACTATGTTGAACAGGTTACTAGTATTGTGGTACATCGAATGGATTGTGTCATTTAATGATATACAAACGTCATAACTCGCATTGGTAATTTATTTACTATGGTATTTATGATGACCAACTTAAGGACTCAATCTGATTTATGATGCACTAATGACTATTTTACTAAACCACTATGGAATTTATCATATGGGCCAAGTGGAAGTACCGCAAGATTATTTATTAATTATGTGGCCCACATAATTTGGACATATGATATATATTTTATTAATTAGTGGTTAAGTAAATATATATCATATTAATATTATATTATTTGGTCAACTTATAAATTACCTTTTTGGTAATTAATTATTGAAGAAGTGTTTTCCTATTTATTCTTTACTTTAATGGGAAGTGGAATTAAGGTTACTAAAAGGAAATCGGTCCTCTCTCTACCATTATAAAGTGCATATTCCACATCAATTGCGCAAGGGCGCACGGAGGGGCATGTGCGGCGCGCGCATGAGGCTTGGCCTGGTGCCCTTTAGTTGTACGCCCATTCTTCGTTTTGACTTTTCTCCCTCGCTCGGATTCCGAATCAAGTAATTCTTGAGTCTATCTTCGTTAATTTTTCGCTATTTATCCAATGGTGTGTTCGGTAACATCTATAACTTTTTTTAAATTACCATTTTACCCCTAGGGCTAAACTTGTCCGTTTTTAAATCGTCACTTCCGCATTTTGTTTTCTTTAAATTCCGTGACTTTATGAAAAGTCACCTTAGTGTTCTTGGAATGTCGTTTGTCCCTAAAAACCTTGTTTTCTTTGTTTTTGCTTCCGCATTCCGGGTTCATTATCGAGTCAACTTTTTAGTCACATTGACATATCCGAGTTGTGAAAATTCAGAACGTCACAGGTGAAAATTCCGAAATTAAATTAAGGTTACTAAAAGAAAATTGGTCCTCTCTTTGCCATTATAAAATGTATATTCCACATCAATTATGTACGTTAATAAAAACAAAACGTATAAGTTTTATATGTGTAAAAGATTAAAGGAGAGAAATCAGTTTCCACGCTTTGTCTATTATTTAGAGTTGCAACTTAATTCATTTTTAAAGGATCTCGATCTTAATGTTAAACTTGATCTCTACGATATTTGCAATCACAAATCGAAATATTTATATTTAATTACTTTATTTATGCATTATAGATATGTAAAAACAATATTATAGATATGTGAAAACAATAAAAGGTCTAAGATCTTAGAATTACTGCTTGACACAAATTATTAATGATTACAAGAGTTCCGTGAATGATATTCCTTCCATGAAAAACCTTTAGTGTCTCTAATATGTTGCTATAAAATTGAAAATAAAAATAAAATATGTTAGGAATATGGAACTGAAATATATCTAAAATTTAAATCACATTACTTACGCAAAAAATAAAAATTCTAAATCAATTCCTTTACGTGATGTACTTCTTCCAAAAATCACTCAATTTGTTGTTTACAAAACTGTCATCTCTTTCATCTCTTACATTGGGATGTCTACCATCCACCTATTGAAGTACTCGTCAAAGTATTCGTGAATGAGTACTACTTTTGTATTGGTGGTATCCATAAACACTTCCTTTGCATTCAGTGAGGAGATTTCAAATTCGTAGACTAATTTAATTGCTTCTGTTTTAGAGATGTCAGAATTCTGGAAAAGTATAAATCTCGACTTCTCCAACTCCTTTACGAGTCGCCAAAGTTCTCCTTTAAAGGATTTCTCCTCTCGTTTCTCGGCTTCAGTATATTTGAATTTAAATTTCAGATGCCATGTACCACAATCTGAAATATATATATATATATATATATATATATATATATATATATATAAATGTTTTTCATCAATTTAATGAGTTTTGAAATTCTTATCATATCAGATTTAATTAAACCAAAACTTACCATTTTTGACAACATCTAAAAGGCTGGATCGGCATTGAATGATCACGCGGCCAGGTATCTTGAGCTTCATGATGTGGTCGACGGTTCCCAACCGTCAACAGTGAACCGCTTCATTATGTTCCACCTCCGCCTGAACTGCAAAAACAACCAGATATTCTGTAGTGGGAGCAGAGAATAGGAATGCACCATCTTCACACAGTTGAATCACACAATCTCACTATTCGATTCAGAGAAAACTCTCTGAACCAGTGGACTACTATCTTTCTCTCTCTAGAATCTCATAGATTTGATAGGGAAAAAGAAGCAAGCAAAGTGTGCTCTCGAGAGAGAGAGTGTGTGTGGCAGTTGATGTTGAGGTTTAGTTGCCGTGGAGGGACACGTGGCGATGGCTGATACGGTGATGGTGAAAATCCTGAGTCGAGGGTCCAACTGTTTTGACCAAGAAAGAGAAGCAGAGGCTGGACACTTCATCGTTAATGGGGATGAGACTAGGTCAGACGGTGTAGATAGGTTCTCTGACGAGATTGTGTGTGAAGTTAAGATGGAGATGGAAGGAGTGATCAAAATATGAGAGCGTGTGTGGGATGCGTGGGACTTGATATGATGTCTGTTGCCATTTATTTGTGTATGTATCTCAGGCACTGCACCCAAACCAAGTCCCAACAACCAAGTAGCGAGTCTTAACTTAATTTTGTCTTTAATGAGTCAACAGAACAGTCTGCTCATTCATACGAGTGCACTGCACCCTAACCAAGGTTCAAATACTATATATGCCATTATTTTAAAAAATATGTAGTAAAAAAAACTAAAAAAATATAAAATATGAACATTAAGTTTATAAAATTGCAGTTATATTCAAAGAATAAGTGAACGAAAAAAAAAATAACAAATAAGAAAGAGAAAGAAAAAAAAAAAAAAAAAAAAAAAGGATTATTGCACATACATAGGAGTGCACATGTCCCAACCCAAATTCAACTGGGATTGGGTTGGCCTGATGTCACCCCAAATATGGCCTTTCGAGTAACTCAAATCCAAACCCAATTTGTTTTGGACTGTACGGATTGACTCATTCAACCCTTTCTTCTTTATTTTTTTTTTTCTAAATATGCAAATTACATCTCCGTTTGAAAATATCAATTTTTTTTTTTTTTTTTTCTCTCACAGCCCATTGGTGTTATAACTTAAGTATTCAATAATCAATTTTTATGTACTTCCAATTCTAATTTTATTACATTAATACAACAAAAATAAAATTTATCTTATTTTAATTTTATTTTTTCAAACAAATATGCGAAAATCACATTTTTGATTTTCTCGGGTTGAAAATCAATTTTTTTCCACAAAAATTTAGTTTTCAATTCATTGATATTGCTATTTTTTCTTTTTGAATTTCTTTACCATAGCAAAGACCATATATATATCACCTGAACTTTTATGCGTAACACAAAAAAGTAAATTTTTGTTCCAGAAATGTACAAGAGTTAAAATATTTCTTGGATCAGCAGAAGGAAAAAAAAAAAAAAGAACAAGTTCTATTATAATTTTCATTCACACTATGATTTGTAAAATATATATCATAAACTAAAAGACGATGTAGCCTCTTGGAAGCCAGGAAGGCCATACATTCTGAGGACTTCTTTGGCTTGGTAATAAATTTAATTTGGATTTAAAAAAAAAAAAAAAACAAAAGATCTAGAAGATTTAAAATATATATATATTGGGTTTTGGGTTGCGCTTGGTTTCCGAACATGGTTGGGTTTCCGAGTTGAGCCCGAGAATTTCAAAGTCCAAATTTCAAAATTTTCCAGGTTGGTTTCCGATTGGGCCAGGTTGGCCCGCCCAAGTTGCACCCCTACCACACGTACATGATACATCAAAGTGCAATGATAAAATAAATAAATGAGAAGAGAAAACAATTAAGGGAAGAAGGAGATCGAAGAAGGGAAAAAAAAAAAAAACAGAAATAGAGAATTTTAGGAGGGGAATTCTACTAAAATTTTACAAAATTACATATGCAAAAGTTTACACACACACACACACACATATATATATATATATGAACTTGAATAAATTAAATTTCAAACCATGGGAGTTAAAATTTCCTTATACGTTTGCACAGAGTAAAAGTCAAATTTTTTTGTTAGCACAGTTTAGTATAGTGTTTGCATAATTTCTTGATGAGTGACATATTTATTATATTCTCTAAAGTTGTGATTTAAAACTCACTACTCATTAATGTTTAATGATCTAGGGAGAGGATGCAAGAAATTATTTTCGTCAAAGAAAGATAATAATAACTGACTAGGAAAAAAGAAGATAATAATGACTTTCGATCAATACATGAGAAACAACAATAAAAATAAAATATGATTTTTTTTAACAACAATAAAGTGATGCATCAATGTAGTATGAACTTTTTTCAATAGGTGAGAAAAACGATTAACAGAAAAAGTAAAATGCATTTCAAGATTGGTACCTGCAATTGTTTGCCGACACTACCCATTCTCAGCTTCAACATTTTTGTGATTGAGAAATTTCTTATTACCTGAATTATAGAGATCAATAAATAAAATTATAATAACTGGATAGCATTAACGAGAATAGTTAATGAAGAGGGCATTGAAGACCTTACCCATTGAACAAAGACAACTCTACAATGGAAGGCTTGGAAGCCATTGATGTGAATAAGGAGTAACCTCATTCTCTCTCAACACTCTCTCTCTCTCTCTCTCTCTCTCCAAAGTTTATCTCTCTAAGAAATTAGAATGGAGAGAAAAAAAAAAGGACAATGCTGTTTTTAAAGAGAGAGACCCCTTTAACTCTCAAGTGAATGCAATCTGGAGTGGTAGGTGCTAGACTTTAAGGAGCAGTTACACTCTTTGCACATACTAGTGAAAGGATCTCTGTTGTGAGTCTCGTGACTTGTCAGTGTGTGAAAGATAGGTTGGGGATTGAAATGAAAAAAAAATTATACATACATACTTAGCATTGATGGTGTTTGAGCTAGTTTTGTTTTATGAAGCCGGAGGTTAGGTTAAACACCATCAATGCTAAGTATATATGTATAGCATAAAAATAGAATATTAAACTCTAATGACAAATTATTAATACTTTAAATCACACCATCTTTCTTAATAAATATTGCTATCATATAACACTCGCACTCTCACACTTACCTTTCGCACAGGTTCTAAATTAAATTTTTATTATTTATAATTTAATTATAACGCCCTCACATTTTCACTCTGGAATTCCCTTTGGCTTTATGTCAAAAGCTAATACGCACGAGCATATTACATAAATGATAGATCATGATATATACATGCCCTTAATTACCAGTCAAGATTCAAGAGGTCACTTTTGACTGTAGTACGTAGTATATGACAGGGTCAGACAAGACGTGCTTGTGTTTTTGATTCTTTGAAGTGGTAAAAGATTGAGAAAAAATATTAGCCATTCGATCAAAAGACTGATGTTGCTGATCACAAAAAGATGGAGTTTGTTACTAAATAGCATTGATTGTGTTTACACTTTACAGCTAGTTTGCTACTGTATGTATAAATGCTGCGTGCTTGTGTTGTGATTCTTTGAAGTGGTAAAAGATTGAGAAAAAATATTAGCCGTTTGATCAAAAGACTGATGTTGCAGATCACAAAAAGATGGAGTTTGTTACTACATAGCATTGATTGTGTTTACACATTACAGCCAGTTTGCTACTGTATATATAAATGCTGCAGAGAGCGTACTCTGTTTTAAGTGCTTTTCAAAAGAGAGTTTGAAGAACTTAAAATTAAAAATTAGTTGAAAAAATAATTTAAAGGCTGCCTAATTTGGCTTATTTATTACGTAATATTAAACTGAAATAATTAAGGTGTTGAAATAATATATTTTTTACTAGAGTAAAGTGCCCAAACAGTCTAACCACTAGTAAATAACTCTTTTGAATTATAAATGCTTTGATAATTTAGTATATTAATCCTTTCGGTGGACTTTTCTTGCCTTATAGAAAGAAATTTTTTTTTATAAGGGTTGGTTTTGATTCTTGGGCTTGGATTTAAAATAAATTGAAAAACCTATTATTATAACATAAAAATATATAAAATTATTCTGAAATTGAATTATTATTATTATTATTATTATTATTATTTTTTTTTTTTTTGGTGTGAGGCACTTATCCTAAAGTTAAGATTGGAGCATTAAGGAATAAGGACTGTTTGGCGTATCTATTACAATTAAGGTGATTGATTTAAAATCATGATTCAAACTTATTTGAAGCATTCTTTATTAGTGTACTTTTTAAAAAAAACATTTTTTTATCGGATAAAGTGCAAAAACAATGCTAACTGCTATTAGCTTTTTGTAAATAACTTTCTTGAAAATGTATAAAATTATTCTAATAATAATTTTTTATTTTTTATTTGTGAGCCCTTATGCTGAACTTAAGATTGGAGCATTAATAATGACTGTTTGGTTGAACAGGAATAGAGATCCAAGTGGTGTATTACTATTTGAATCTAAACTATATATGTAAAAATTAAAACATTCATTATATTTCTATTCAGTACATTCACAATGATTTTTTAGATTATTTATTGCTATTTCAAAATTGGATTCATTCAATTAAAAAAAAAGAAAAAGAAAAAATTATATTCAATGAATCAAGAATAAAATATGAAAAAAAAAAATAACATAGTTACCTAACGGTTCTAATATATCACATATGTCAAAAAAAAAAAAAAAAAAAAAAAAAAAAAAAAAAAAAAAAAAATTTCATAATAACAGTGACTTTGTGATTTCATTGATTTGAGTTGCAAATAAAAACAAATTATAAGTCTTATTTAGAGAATAATAATTAGTAACACAATTACACAAACTAAATTTTGCAAAAATAACAAGCCCTAAAATAATTTTGATAGTAATAACTAATAATTTTTCTAATTAAAATTATAATATCAAATAATAATTGTAAATTTAGATGATAAAAATAAAAAATAAAAAATTAGATTACTTGTCTGCCGCCTGCAGTACAATTGACTGAGTCTCTGGTAAATGATTACTTCGCTTGCTTTGTTTGGATTGTGAAAAATGTTAAAGATTGAAGATATGATGGAAACAATCCATTTATTTGTGGTAAAGTCAAAAGTGTGATAGAAAATCTTGATGAAATGTTTTTTTTTTTTTTTTTTTTTTTTTTTGGGAAAGTGGGGAAAATATAATATTTTGAAAAAGTGGAAAAAAAATATCATATTTTATGGGTAAGTAATAAATTGATAGATATATTATAGATATTTAAAATCGTGTCATGATTATATTCCTTTGTTTTGTCCTTTCTTTTTTCTTTTTCTTTTTTCTTTTTCTTTTTTCTTTTTGTGTAAAATCGTTATATATATATATAAATATATATATATATATAGTATATATATATATAGTATATTCAAATTTTAGAGGGAGCAATTATATAAATATAAAAATATTTTCATATAAAATTTTAAAAACTTAAAAGTTGAGTAGGGCAGTTGCCCCCACTTGTTCCTCTGTGGCTACGCCACTGGGTGTAACCAACTGAAGCTTCAATGGAGTAAATGACAGTCTTAAGCACACTATAGATCAAATGACACTAACAGGCTACCACACTAGATGGGGGTGATTGTAGGGATTTTGTGGGCGGGTGCAGGCTACAACTCGTGCGGATTGGGCACTCATCTCGGGCTTAGCCCAAGCTCAGAAGAATTTATGTGTAAAAAGTAAAATATAAATCCAAGCACATTACTAACTTGTTACTATACTCTTGTGATTCAAGTTTAGTTATAAATATATATAATATTTTCGTGCTCGAGTTGGACTTCAGTCTTCATCCATAACAACCCAAGCCCAGAATAAATTGAATTTGGGTTCAAAATATATAGTTCAAGCCTAAACCGAAATTAAAAAAATATTACCTAAGCCCGCAAAATTTGGAGCTGAGCTAGGGTTATTTCGAGTTGGGCCCGCTTGATTTGAGCTCTAACTGGCAGGTTGTCGCACTTGGTGAGTTAAAGGTGCAAAATCCCACATCGCCTTAATAAGGAAAATGTGAAGTGTTTATATGTGTTGGTGTTACCTTCAAATGCTATTAGACCTTTTAAGGTAAAACTCAAAAGTAAAACCGTGCGAGCTCGGATCCAAAATGAACAATGTCATACCATGTTGTAGAGTAACTAATTGACATGAAATATTTTTACGACACTATGAGTAGATTTGGAGTATTTGTTGAAGTCCCTCCCTTATAAGGGATTTTGAAGTATTAAAGAGACACTTAGTGCTCTGTGTTGTGTTCACATCGCCTGAGTTACGAAAAATGTGAATTGCTTATATGTGTTGACGTTATCTCCAAATGTTACGAGACCATTTGGAATAAAACTCAAGAATAAAACTGTGTGTACGACATAAATGGGTAGATTTGTAATATTTGTTGAAGTCTCTCCCTAACAAGGGACTTTGAAGTATTAAAGAGAGACTCAGTGCTCTGTGTTGTGTTGTGGGTCTCATGATAAGTCAATTCTCTCTTTAAGAAATTAAAACCCTTTGTTGCATGAAATTGGCTGAATATATATAGTGTCTGTACAATTAAGACTGTGTTTGTATAGGTTGGAATTGCAGGTGTGGTCTCTGCTGCTGAGAGAGAGAGAGACCTTTTGTTGTGAATTGAGTTGTTTAAAGATGCTTCTTGTGGTTAGTAAATGACAGAGCAGTCCCATGTGGCCTTGGCAGTTCACATAGTGGAGGTGTTTGGATGCATAGGTTCATGATGTTGATCTCTAAGAAAGTTTCTTGGCATTGACTTTTTTTTTTTTTTTTTCCCTGACCAAGGCAAGCCCAACAGCACCTATAAAGACACCAAAGCACCATACAAAACAAAACAATAGAACCACCACCTTGCAAACATCTACAGAACAACACCAAAAACCCCAACAACCCTAAACAAACAAAGACCACTAGACATCCCACCCAACCTAAGGATCAGTAAGAAACTAAAGCCTTAGGCTGGGAAGGACTAACCAAAAGTGCCAGCTACGTAGCAAAAGATTGCGAAGGAGACAAGTCAGAGTAAACGGACTCCCCAACAACATTGGCATTTGGAATAATCCTTGCAACCCCAAAGGAGAATTGATCATGAAACAAACCCTTCGGAGAAGAACTCTACCACTCGAGGCTTTTTCCCAACCTCCGCACGAGAGTCCTGACGAAAACCATTCGAGCGTGGACGACGCTTATGGCCATCTTTCACCAGGGAAGAGCCTTGACTTGGAGACGACTGCGAAAACCCCGATGACCTACCCTTTCTGGACATAACTCTTCTTTTACCTTTACGACCTCCTTTAGAAAGCTGATCCCACCGTTGCAAAGGCAAAACCTGTCCATTACCCTGAGACAAAGATGGAACACATTGCACTAGTTTCTCAAAATGAGCTGAGGCAACAAGGCTTTGAGAAGACAAGCCTGGCACACCCTTATCAACTGGATCATACACCATCAACCGCCGGAAGCAAGGCATCAGAAGTGATT